CCAGAAAAATTCACCTCTCTCGTCTTGCCTATCCAATCTCAAAACCCTTTCTTTCTGCACAAAGAGCGACGCTCGACCTCATGGACCTGCTCCGACCCAATCTATCCCGGGTACGGATCCTGGAACCCACCAACCGCATCTACAAGCACCGCCTGATCTCTTCCGACGACTCCATCTCCGGCAAGAAAGGCACTGGTTCTGCCAAATCTAGCAAGGCAGATTCAGGGAATCAAATCTCTCATCTCTGTCTTGTCTCTCTACCTTGATCAATGACGTGATGGAGCTCAAGGCTTGGATTGGTTAAATGATGGAGGAACTCAACGTCGGCCTCTGCAATAGGAGCTCGGCAGTGACAGGATCCCGACCTGGTGACTTGTACAGACACCCAGCGCACGACTCAGGCGGGTCGACCAGGTCAGAGAACCTCGCCAGGTCCGACTGCCTGGATTGATACGGGGCTCCGGCAAGAAAAGCAACACGAAAGAGCGGCGAAATCGAACGGCTCGATTGATAAAGAACGGGTCAACTCAGAAGGAACTCGGAAGAAGATCAGGCTGGGGTAGGCGAGGGTTTGGCGCTGCCAAGTGTGGGAACGACGGCAGGCTGGGACGAAAAATTACGTTTTGTTCTCTAAGGTTGGCGCTGCTGCGTTTATTTCTGTTAAAGAGAATGAGGAGGACGAGGCCGGCGAAGCTTTGTATTCCGGTGGTGTCCCCGGGATTTGGGTCTGCTCCGCCGACGCCGTCGACGACAGGTTGGAGAGAGGTGATGGAGGATCGCTACTCAGCTAGTCTTAATCTTGAAGGTGATCCCAAACAGCTTTGTGCGGAATTGTGAGAGATCAAACAATTTCATTTCCCAATTTCTCCCAGAAAGTTCACTTTTCTTATCTTTCCGAGAAAGATCGGATTTCAAATTTTCAAAATTCATAGGAACTGTTGAAAGCCGGGAGGATCACATCACCGACTCGAACGGCTGAGAGTCAGAGAAGAAGCAGTAAAACTTTCGATACTTGACGCTACTCGGCTCCAGATCGAATAAGCTCTACTGGATTTTTCCCCTTTTTTGTGATCTGCTACCTTCTCAGTAGCCAAACGCTGGGAAATTAGCTGCTGCCATTTTTGTAGTGTTTGAAGTTCTCAGATATTTCTGGATCGTCAACCCCGACTCCGACGATGAGGACCACCGTGATTCCAGATATTTCTGCACTGCTTCTCTGCCCATCTTCAGCCCAATTCTTGGTCTGACGGTTCTCTGCTCATCCCCCGACTCTCCTCGGCCGACTCTGACTCCAAGTCATCCGCATCAGAGGGCGTGGTCATCGAGGAACCCTGGGCGTTTCGTTCCCCGAGCAAGATCGCGAGTTTCTCTTCTTCCGAAATGAACGACACTAGTCCTCTTGTCGTAGATGTGCAGCGCACGACGCCTACCACTCTTACGACGCCGTTTTATTCGTTGCCGGAAACGTACTTGTCACCGGGGATCGAAAATTTTGCGAGCCCTTTGAGCCAGGCGCAGAGGGAGGAGAGGGATGATAGCTCTATAGCTGCTCATAGCATATCCGGGAGGTTCCCTTCGGTCTCTTTGTTCAAGGAGTATAAGAATGCAGCTATGGCGATTCTAGAGAAAACAGATTACACTATGATTTATGGGCATCATTTCATCAAAAAGTCAGGGTGGTAAGTTCTCAGATGGACGGGGCGCATGCGACCGGCGTGAGAAGAGATTCAATAAAACCAGCAGAGAAAAGGAAAAAGGAGAAATGATGATGGCTATTGCTGCTAGTGGCCTTAAAAGCTGCTTTTTGACTTTCCAGAAGATGCTGTAAAGACAAGTCTATGCCTCCGCCATTTGCAATCTGCAAAAGTAAAGCAAAGTAAAGAGCACTTCACTTTACTTTTGTCTGCCATCTGCAAAGGCTAATGCACCTGGACCTCAGCAAGAGCAAGAGAATAATAAATGCAGCGCAAGGAAAAGAGAAAGAAAAGGGAAAGTAAAAGCAAAGCAAAGTAAAAGAGCAAAGCAGAAAGCATGGCTACCCTTTCAACATGAGATTTGCGGTGGAAAAGAGCAAAGCAGAAAGCATGGCTACCCTTTCAACATGAGATTTGCGGTGGAAAAGAGCAAAGCAGAAAATATGGCTACCCACTGAGATAATTACAAAAGTAGAAAAGAAAGAGAAAAACAAAAGTAAGGAATAAACATTCCACCAGAATGATATAAACATCTGTATAAACCCCATCAGAGGGTAATAATACAAAAAAAAAAAAACGGCAAAGCCCAAAATTAATGGGCTGGAATGTTGTGGAGGGCGAAGGCCCATAAGCCCAAAATAACACCAACCAGGTGATCAAAAGTACGCCTAGTACTCCAAATCATACATGAGCACTACTCATGTCATTCATACATAAACATTCATGAGCATCACTCATGATCATCATTCATGTCAACATTCATGAGCATCACTCATGTCAACATTCATGAGCATCACTCATGTTAACATTCATGAGCATCACTCATGACAACATCCATGAGCATCACTCATGTCAATCAACATAAACATTCATGAGCATCACTCATGTCAATCAGCTTCAAAAAAGCTTCATTTACAGAGCTTTAGCTTCAAAAGCTTCATTTACAGAGCTCTAGATTCAAAAGCTTCATTTATAAAAGCTCCAGCTTCGAAAGCTTCATTTACAGAGCTCTAGCTTCCAAGCTTCACTTGCAAAGCTTCACCTACAAAGCTTCAGTGCAGGGTATACAAACACCGCCTCCGAACAACCACCACTTCGGCCCATACATGGATTCAATTTGAAGTCTCCAGCCAACAGACTCTATTGACCGAAGACTTGGGGGACTACATTATGTACCATATATTGGGCCTCAACTGGGCCTCATGAAAAATACTTGGGAGACTCTAGCCCATCACTTATGTATTGAGGAGTGAGCCCTTATTCTATAAAAGGGAATCCCTCACTTTCATTAGAGAGCACCCATTATTCATGTACTGAGGAGTGAACCCTTATTTTATAAAAGGGACTCCCTCACCTTCATTAGAGAGAAACGCTGCCAGCTGAGCAACCGCCTCGTCGCGAGCATCAACTCTAGCCCATCATTTATGTATTGAGGAACGAGCCCTTATTCTATAAAAGGGACTCCCTCACCTTCAACACCACAAGCCGAGCCAACCAAGGCAATATAAGCTACAAGCAAAGCGGCCTCACAACATGTGCTACTTCTAGTTGAACATCATTTCAGATTGGGCACCGCCTCATATCGAGCATCAGTTCTAGACGACATCTAGTTACTTCGGCCCACACATGGACTGAATTTCAAGTCTCCAGCCAAAAGACTCTCTTGACTGAAGACTTGGGGGACTACTGTTTATACCATATTTAGGGCCTCGTATTTAGATCTCGTACAAATACTCAGGGGACTTAAATGTAATTATGGGATAAATGAAGGGGCAAATATGTAATAAGTGAGGAGTCCTTATTCTATAAAAGGACCCCTCACCCTCACAATTAGGAAGAGGCTCATTCTCACCCTCAGAGGCCATTTCTGAAGCCTCTCACCCCCTCTCAAAGCCTCCTCACATCCCCTAAGCTCTAAGCTCTCTCTCCCTCTTCAGCAGAGAAATACAATACAATCAGTGTGGACGTAGCCCAAACCTTGGGGTGAACCACGATATATCTTGTGTTATTTACATTACTTGCAGATTCACGGTCGGATTTACGTTGTACCAAGACCATCCGGTTTTGTGCATCAACAAAGTGTATATGGATTTTCCTCCGGGTATAATGCTGAAGGGAAAACCAGAGTATGTAGGTTGCAAAAGTCGCTTTATGGACTTAAGCAATCACCTCATGCATGGTTTGGTAGATTTACTCAAGTTATCAGAATGAATGGATATTATCAGAGTCACTCCAACCATACGTTGTTTGTAAAACGGAGAAGCGGTAAAGTGACAGCCTTAATTATTTATGTGGATGACATGATAAAAACAAGTGATAATTCGAAAGAGATGATGAAGCTGGAAGCAAGTCTTGTCGCCAAGTTCGAGATGAAGAATTTGGGAGACAAAATATTTCTTGGAGTAGAAGTGGCTAGTTCATCTTGAGGTATTTTCTTGTCTCAACGTAAATATGTTATGGATTTATTAAAGAAGACAGGCATGCTGAGATGTAAACCGGTGGACACTCCTATTGTAGAGAAGCATTATTTAGGGATTTATCTAGATCAAGTACCGGTAGCCAAAGGCAGATATCAGAGACTGGTAGGGAGACTAATTTATTTGTCCCACACTCGTCCGGATATTACTTATGCAGTAAGTGTGGTGAGTCAATTTATGCACTTGTCGAGTGTGGAGCATATGGCGGCAGTTATGAGGATTCTTGCGTATTTAAATTCTGCTCCTGGAAAGGGAATTTTGTATAAGCCTCATGGACACATGAGGATTGAGGGATTTACTGATGTTGATTGGGTAGGTGATGTGACTGATAGGTGTTCTACGTCTGGATATTTTACATTCGTTGGAGGAAATTTGGTTACTTGGCAGAGCAAGAAATAGAGGGTGGTGTCTCGATCTTCTGCCGAGGCCGAATACAGGGGCATGGCACATTGTGTGTGCGAGATTCTTTGGCTACAGAAGTTACTTTGGAGTCTCGGATTTAAACAAGAAGAGGCAATGAAATTGTATTGTGACAAGTTGACAAGAGAGATAGCACAGAATCCAGTACAACATGATATGACTAAGTATGTTGAGGTTGATTGACATTTCATTAAAGAAAAGCTTGAGAAGAAGACTGTTTCAATATTGTTTGTGAACTCTGAAGAACAACTTGCAGATGTTCTTACTCATGCCGTGTGTAGTAGAGCTTTTGATGACTCACCTATCAAGTTGGGCATATGTGATATCTATGCACCAACTTGAGGGGGAGTATTGCGTGAGTGAATGTATAGGAAAAAGGAATGTAAATATTGTGTAAATATTAGTCATGTTTTAGGAAGGTAATATTAGTGTCCTTTATTGTTTCCTTATGTAATAAGAATTGTATGTACTTGTATTCAGAATTATGGAATACATGAAAATTAAGCTGTAAAATTCTATTACAAAACTTGACAAACAAATAACAACAACAACAACAAAGCCTTTTTCCACTAAGTGGGGTCGGCTATATGAATCCTAGACCGCCATTGCGCTCGGTTTTGTATCATGTCCTCCGTTAGATCTAAGTACTCCAAAAGCAATATTTATCCATTACAAACAAATACGAACATAAAACTCCAGAGGCATTATTTATCCATTACTAATAGATGGCAGCTGATAAGGAAAACCACTTCAACAAATCTTGATGAGGCCACTCACTTGACATGGTTCAAGAACCACTTCAACAAATCTTGATGAGCCTCCTCGGCAGATTTACAAGCTGCTTCGTCTTTAACACTGTACCTCACCGTCCACCCATGTGACACTTTCGGGAATATTTTCACATGGCTCTTAACCTGTGATTCCACAAAACCAACAATCGTTTCAACAAATTTCAAAAGTTTACCACTACAAGCTACCATAGTGGTGAATCCTAATGTGAAGGAGGGTGTTTTTCGTGTTGTCCTATCATTTCTTCAAAAAGAACAATATGAAAATGTTTTCAAAGTTCGTACAAAACGGTATATGACCCTGATTGGAAATTAAAATAGAATATCTTAACGTAGCATATAAGCTCACTGGCCCCCTTCCCTTACAAGTCGTTTTTGTAAGGGCAAGTTACCTATAACTATAATCCATGCATAATTATATTTCATAATATGATAGAACAAGTTCACCATGCATCCCAAGTTGAGGAATGTCCTTGATTAGAATAAACAAACTAACAAAGCCACAAAAGTATTGAAGACAGTTCGGATGAAGGAGATTCCTACCTCAGGTTTTGCAGTTAAAACCTCTTCAAACTGTTTCACGACTTCAGGCGGAGACATCCGATCAATCTCAGCTCCAAGTATAGAAATAGGAACCTTAACCTCTGAAAGTAAGTCCAGGAATAGGTCATAAAGTGAGTGTGAGACTAATTTTTTGTTCCAATAATGGTGTATATATTTCCTGAATATTAGTACAGGTATCTTACCCTTGATATCATCCACAGTGACTAATGACGGATGACACAGAACAGCAGCTTGAATTGAAGCGTGCTTTGAAAGTTCAACCACAACCTTGGCTGAAAACAGTGCAAATAGTTCAATGTCAACCGAAACAATATTCTCCAATTGGTTGAACTACTGAAACAAGAGTGATAAGTAAAACATTGCCTAAACATTATCCAAATGTCTAAACGAGAAACGTTTTTGTTACACTCAAAAAGCAACAAATTAAATTTATATAAGGACAAATGAAATAGAGCAACTAAGATGTTAACGAGAAATGAACGTGAACTCACCTCCCCAACAGAAGCCTGCAGCACCGATTGCAGAAACACCTTTACTTTTTAAAGCTTCAAGAACTGGCTTTGCATCCTCAAATCCCTTGTCCTATCAATCCCAAAACAAGATTCAGAAGCTAACAATACTTGAACATACATATCCAAATTGCAGAAAAACTTCTATAACACCCCAATGCCAGGGACTCGTAATTTAACCATTGTCACAAAATGTGTAATCAGCCTAGTAGTGAACAACCACAAAAAGTTTTAACATAACAACTGCGACTCCCAAGCTGAACCCACACACATAAGCATATAAAATATTTTTAAAAACTCAAGAATTGCATAGGGAGACTTGTAAAAGAACTTTGATCGTTAAAGAAACAAAACAGATATGCATAAAAGTAGACACAATAACAAAAGAACCAACCGGTCCATGATCTTTTATCCAAACAGAAATAGGTCTGTTGGCATCTTCAGGTGCATAAGGGTCTTTGTTAAGGAAGTCAGGAACCACAACGAAGAACCCAGCAGCTGCAACTTTGTCAGCAAGCTTCCTTCACAATGGAAGGCAGGTGGCATTAGTTAAAGGGTATAGGATAATATGGAAACACCGAACAACATGAAAATATCTGAAGTCGGTAACTGGCACATGAAATTTTATCCTTCTGTAAATTATAGAGTGAACAATCTAAAAATACAGGTATAGATCTTCAAACCATCATGAAAGGTTATTGTAAAAGTCAGGGGATCCGACAATTGTTATACGATATCTGATACTCATAGACAATCCGAAACTATTGGTTGCAACTATCTTTCAAAAATAAGTCAGATATAGATATAGAATCATAGATTACAGACCTACTGTAACTTTTTCTTTTTTTTTTCTTCCTTAACGATTGAATTATTTCAAGTAAACTGTTCATCAAATTTAAGTAGCAAGTGTAAATATCCGAAAGCGAAAAGTCATCATACCTCAAGTTTGGAGCTTCAAATCCTGAATGACAAAGAAAACATTCAACATTACAAAGCAGTTATACAAAACACACACTTTCATCACAGATTTGAACAACACATAAGCTAGATTATCAAGACTTTATCAGAATTGGAGGGAAAAAAATCCAAAAATTCAAAGGGGAAGGGAAAATGTCATAAATTTAGGAAACCCATCAACAAACATAGCCTAAAAATCAATACCCATTAAACCAAAAACCCATATAAAAATAGACAACAAGGAAACAAACCCATGTCGTAGAATGAAGAAAGGAGAGGTTTTTTAAGTGGTGGGAAAGTTACCATAAACGTCAGAGATGAGAAGAACGGCAAGGTTGGAATCAGGGGAGCCAGTGACATAGGAGTCCAGACCGCCGAGGCTTTCGACATGGCCGGTGCCGCTGGAGGGGTTCAGGGTCGGAGGGTTTGAGCAGCACTCAGAGCTTGCCATTATTTCTTTCCTTTTCTCTCCCTGAATTCACACTCTTTGTCGGTGTTTGATTGAGCTAGGGATTTGGATCCTCTCCTGAGCTAATGGAGAGGATCCTCCTGACCAAATGTTGTGCATCGTTGAATTTTTATCCAACGGCTATAAACAGATGGGTCTTTTAAAGTTATAATAATTATAACAGTTGGATGAAAATTCAACGGCCCATAACACTTGGTCAGGAGGATCCTCTCTATTAGCTCAGGAGAGGATCCAAATCCCCGCACAGCGGAGACTATATTTAAATATAATTATTATTAAGTATTACAGTACTACCACGCCGTCCATGATGCTTACATTTAGGGATATGATATCCACACACTTCTTTTTACTTCTCCCACACTTTTTTAGTTTTTGACCGTCGGATCGGATGAATCGAAGAAAATCAACGAACAGAAATTAACAAGGGGTGTGTGAGAAGTAAAAATGGATGTGTGAATAGCACACCCCTCATTTATAATTTGATATTAACCGTTTATTTGTTTTTTTTGGCTGAACTTTCAACTTGTTTTAAAAAATTACCAATTAAATAAAAAGAAAATATCACCCGTCCATCCTCATCTCCCATTTGGATTCATCATGGGTGAATAACGTGGAAGCAGTTCAAGTACCAACCCGAGTTAATGAGGCATTGAAGGATCCGAAATGGGCTACTGAAATGGATGAAGAAATGATGGCACTACATAAGAATGATACATGGGAAGTAATGGAACTACCAAAGGGGAAAGGGCCGGTCGGATGTAGATGGGTCTTTACAATTAAATACAAGGCCGACAGATCAATAGACAAGTATAAAGCAAGGTTAGTGGCAAAAGGTTATACTCAAACGTACAATGTTGATTACCAAGAAACCTTTTCTTCAGTAGCAAAGATGAATACAATACGGGGTTCCTATTTCACTAGCTGCAAATTTGAATTGGTCACTGAAACAATTTGATGTTAAAAAGAAGTGTTTATGGATTTTCCTCTGAGTATAATGCTGAAGGGAAAACCGAAGTATGTAGGTTGCAAAAGTCTCTTTCTGGACTTAAGCAATCACCTCGTGCATGGTTTGGTAGATTTACTCAAGTTATGAGAAGGAAGGGATATTATCATAGTCACTCTGACCATACATTGTTTGTAAAATGGAGAAGTGGTAATGTGACAACCTTAATTATTTATGTGGATGACATGATAATAACAGGTGATGATTTGGAAGAGATGATGAAGCTGGAAGCAAGTCTTGCCGCCGAGTTCGAGATGAAGAATTTGGGAGACAAAATATTTTCTTGGAGTAGAAGTGGCTAGTTCATCTTGAGGTATTTTCTTGTCTCAACGTAAATATGTTATGGATTTATTAAAAGAGACAGACATGCTGGGATGTAAACCGGTGGACACTCCTATTGTAGAGAAGCATTATTTAGGGATTTATCTAGATCAAGAATCGGTTGACAAAGGCAGATATCAGAGACTGGTAGGGAGAGTAATTTATTTGTCCCACACTCGTTCGGATATTGCCTATGCAGTAAGTGTGGTGAGTCAATTTATGCACTCGCCGAGTGTGGAGCATATGGCGACAATTATGAGGATTCTAGCGTATTTAAAGTCTGCTCCTGGAAAGGGAATCCTGTATAAGCCTCATGGACACGTGAGGATTGAGGGATTAACTAATGCTAATTGGGCATGTGATGTGATTGATAGGCGTTCTACGTCTGGATATTTTACATTCGTTGGAGAAAATTTGGTTACTTGGCAGAGCAAGAAACAGAGGGTGGTGTCTCAATCTTCTGCTGAGGCGGAATACAGGAGCATGGCGCATGGTGTGTGCAAGATTCTTTGGCTACGGAAGTTGATTTGAAGTCTCGGATTTAAACAAGAAGAGGCAATGAAATTGTATTGTGACAAGTCGGCAAGAGAGATAGCAGAGAATCCAGTACAACATGATACAACTAAGTATGTTGAGGTTGATCGACATTTCATTAAAGAAAAGCTTGAGAAGAAGATTGTTTCAATACCATTTGTGAAATCGGAAGAACAACTTTCAGATGTTCTTACTCATGCCGTGTGTAGTAGAGCTTTTGATGACTTACCTATCAAGTTGGGCATGTGTGATATCTATGCACCAACTTGAGGAGGAGTATTGCATGAGTCACTGTATAGGAAAAGAGAATGTAAATATTGTGTAAATATTAGTCATGTTTTAGGAAGGTAATATTAATGTCCTTTATTGTTTCCTTATGTAATAAGGATTGTATGTACTTATATTCAAAATTATGGAATACATGAAAATTAAGCTGTAAAATTCTATTACAAAACTTTAAACAAATACGAACATAAAACTCCAGAGGCATTATTTATCCATTACTAATAGATAGCAGCTGATAAGGAAAACCACTTCAACAAATCTTGATGAGGCCACTCACTTGACATGGTTCAAGAACCACTTCAACAAATCTTGATGAGCCTCCTCGGCAGACTTACAAGCTGCTTCGTCTTCAACACTGTACCTCACCGTCCACCCATGTGACACTTTCGGGAATATTTTCACATGGCTCTTAACCTGTGATTCCACAAAACCAACAATCGTTTCAACAAATTTCAAAAGTTTACCACTACAAGCTACCACAGTGGTGAATCCTAATGTGAAGGGGGGTGTTTTTGGTGTTGTCCTATCATTTCTTCAAAAAGAACAAAATGAAAATGTTTTCAAAGTTCGTACAAAACGGTATATGACCCTGATTGGAAATTAAAATATAATATCTTAACGTAGTATATAAGCTCACTGGCCCCCTTCCCTTACAAGTCATATTTGTAAGGGCAAGTTACCTATAACTATAAGCCATGCATAATTATATTTCATAATATGATAGAAAAAGTTCGCCATGCATCCCAAGTTGAGGAATGTCCATGATTAGAATAAACAAACTAACAAAGCCACAAAAGTATTGAAGACTATTCGGATGAAGGAGATTTCTACCTCAGGTTTTGCAGTTAAAACCTCTTCAAACTGTTTCACGACTTCAGGCGGAGACATCTGATCAATCTCAGCTCCAAGTACAGAAATAGGAACCTTAACCTCTGAAAGTAAGTCCAGGAATAGATCATAAAGTGAGTGTGAGACTAATTTTTTGTTCCAATAATGGATTAGATATTTCCTGAATATTACTACAGGTATCTTACCCTTGATATCATCCACAGTGACTAATGATGGATGACACAGAACAGCAGCTTGAATTAAAGCGTGCTTTGAAAGTTCAACCACAACCTTGGCTGAAAACAGCGCAAATAGTTCAATGTCAGCTGAAACAATATTTTCCATATTGGTTGAACTACTGAAACAAGAGTGATAAGTAAAACATTGCCTAAACATTATCCAAATGTCTAAACGAGAAACATTTTTGTTACACTCAAAAAGCAACAAATTAAATATATACAAGGAAAAATGAAATAGAGCAACTAAGATGTTAACGAGAAATGAACGTGAACTCACCTCCCCAACAGAAGCCTGCAGCACCGATTGCAGAAACACCTTTACTTTTTAAAGCTTCAAGAACTGGCTTTGCATCCTCAAATCCCTTGTCCTATCAATCCCAAAACAAGATTCAGAAGCTAACAATACTTGGAACATATCCAAATTGCAGAAAAACTTTTATAACACCCCAATGCCAGGGACTCGTAATTTAACCATTGTCACAAAAGGTGGAATCAGCCTAGTAGTGAACAACCATAAAAAGTTTTAACATAACAACAGTCTTCATGCACTCCCAAGCTGAACCCACACACATAAGCATATAAAATATTTTTAAAAACTCAAGAATTGCATAGGGAGACTTGTAAAAGCACTTTGATCGTTAAAGAAACAAAACAGATATGCATAAAAGTAGACACAATAACAAAAGAACCAACCGGTCCATGATCTTTTATCCAAACGGAAATAGGTCTGTTGGCATCTTCAGGTGCATAAGGGTCTTTGTTAAGGAAGTCGGGAACCACAACGAAGAACCCAGCAGCTGCAACTTTGTCAGCAAGCTTCCTTCACAATGGAAGGCAAGTGGCATTAGTTAAAGGGTACAGGATATTATGGAAACACCGAACAACATGAAAATATCTGAAGTCGGTAACTGGCACGTGAAATTTTATCCTTCTGTAAATTATAGAGTGAACAATCTAAAAATACAGGTATAGATCTTCAAACCATCATGAAAGGTTATTGTAAAAGTCAGGGGATCCGACAATTGTTATACGATATCTGATACTCATAGACAATCCGAAACTATTGGTTGCAACTATCTTTCAAAAATAAGTCAGATATAGATATAGAATCATAGATTACAGACCTACTGTAATTTTTTTTTTTTTTTTCCTTCCTTAACGATTGAATTATTTCAATTAAACTGCTCATCAAATTTAAGCAGCAAGTGTAAATATCCGAAAGCGAAAAGTCATCACACCTCAAGTTTGGAGCTTCAAATCCTGAATGACAAAGCAAACATTCAACATTACGAAGCAGTTATACAAAACAGACACTTTCATCAAAAAATTGAACAACACATAAGCTAGATTATCAAGACTTTATCAGAATTGGAGGGAAAAAATCCAAAAATTCAAAGGGGAAGGGAAAATGTCATAAATTTAGGAAACCCATCAACAAACATAGCCTAAAAATCAACACCCATTAAACCAAAAACCCATATAAAAATGGACAACAAGGAAACAAACCCATGTCGTAGAATGAAGAAAGGAGAGGTTTTTTAAGTGGTGGAAAAGTTACCGTAAATGTCAGAGATGAGAAGAACAGCAAGGTTGGAATCAGGGGAGCCAGTGACATAGGAGTCGAGACCGCCGAGGCTTTCGACATGGCCGGTGCCGCTGGAGGGGTTCAGGGTCGGAGGGTTTGAGCAGCACTCAGAGCTTGCCATGATTTCTTTCCTTTTCTCTGCCTGAATTCACACTCTTTGTTGGTGTTCGATTGAGCTAGCACAGCGGAGACTATATTTAAATATAAAAATTATCAAGTATTACAGTACTACCACGTCGTCCATGATGCTTTCATTTATAATTTGATATTAACCGTTTATTTGTTTTTTTTTTTTGCTGAACTTTCAACTTGTTTTAAAAAATTACCAGTTAAATAAAAAGAAAATATCACCCGTCATCCTCATCTCCCATTTGTATTCCACCAAACAGTTAAATTTCGTGAATATTTTTGCAAAAAAAAAAAAATTAATTCTTTTTCATTTTGATTGGAGGATCATTTTCCACTTAATTCATTAAGTTCGGGATCTGAGCCGTTCAAATTTGATCTAACGATTACAGTTATTATAACTTTTAAAGATCACCTTATTTGTAGCCGTTTGATCAAATTTCAACAGTCAAAATCACAAACTTAATGAATTAGGTGAAAAGGAATCCGGATAATCCCTTTCCGTTTTGATTGATTCTCATTGAATTTCAAGTGACATGGGAGACTTCTTTTATATTTTGTTTTTTATTGAATTCTTTACTTTTTCAATGACGGGATGAATGACGTAAGCCTAATGCGAAAAGTCTGAGGAGAATTGCTAAGAGCTAGAGTCCAGGACTACAAGACTTCAAGAACGTGTTTACGTGTTCGATATCAGAATCAAAGGTCAGTGTGATTCTGATTACGGGTTATTTTTGTATTTAAAAAAATTTGGATGAATCAAAATGGGTGGGGCCCACTTGAAATATAGGAATTGAATTCTTGATTTTGAAGGAATTGAACTCCTGAGTAGGATGTGTCATTTGAATTCCGTCTAATTCCTAAAAACTCCATCTAATTCCTAAAAACTCCAAATCTGCCACTCAAATCAACAAGCCCAGACCTCTCTGCTTGCCTCCCATTCACCTCCCCGTGCCCCAGTGAACCAATCTCAAGAATCCTAGAGCGTCTTCAGATATCGTAGTGAGCTGGTTGTTCTTTGGTTGTGGCATCGTGGTCGTGTGGGGATGGAGGTGCAACGAGCGAGAGAGATCAATGGATGCGCATGAAATGATGATGAAGGATCCACAAAAAATAAAATGGAGGAGAGGGAGGGAGAGAATGGTGGCAAGGGTTAGCAGGGCGACCGTCCAAGGCCTAAAAAACTCGAGGGGCACCAAAAATTGATAGAGTAGTATATTCATATATATTTCCATAAGCATATAAATTTTGAAACCTTGGTTAAATCAATAAGAACTTTAGGCAGGAGTGGTGGTGTTTCGCTGCCAACTTAACAAGACGATGTTGTGTTCGAAACCCGATATGTTCATTTTTTTTTCCAATTTTTTACGATATTCTGTTAATTTGCACAACAAACTAAACATTTAACTTAATGCTAAGAACTCATTAAAATACAAATAATTAATAAAACAATACATTAGAAATATGGTGCCCAACACCTATTAATGTTCTTCCTCAACCCTTTTGTCGTTTCTTTTAACTTCCCTGGGAAGCGGCCATAAGCCATGCCTCTCAATTTCTCTTATTTTATTTATGAAGAAATATAATTCTTGAAAAAATAATTTTACAGTAACAATCACATATGGTTGTAGGTCGGAGAAAATTGCAAAGGCATAGGGAGGAAGAGGTAGAATTGAAGGATTTTGATGACAAATTTACCTAGCTAACGAATTTCAGAAAAAATTATGAAAAAAATGTCATTAGTTCTACAAGATTTAGGGGTTAAAGTGTGAACGATGAGAGGTTCTTGTCGAGAGGCATAGTTGTTGCGACCCGTGGAGGAAGTGAAAGAGATAAAAGTGAAGGAATAAAAGTTAAAGTTCGAGGAAGAACAAAGATAAGTGGTGGGACTCAGAATTCTAATTATCTTTAATTCTCTCATGCATTGCTTATACATTTCAATTAAAAACTCAAAAATATGATATATATTTTTTAGTCACATATTGACAAAGTAAGTAAATAAGAAAAAACACCTCACAATTTTATATAAAAGCACTCCAAAATTTCGAGGGGAAACATCTACTTGTAAGCCGGGGTTTTTTTGGTTCCCTTCTCTCAAACCAAATGTTGTGTCATCAATAGAAATAAGCACGTTAATCAACCCTTAAATAATAATCCAATTATCAACTTCCATGTTATTTAGTTTACCATATTTTGTCTACAAATTTAGTCTTCTTAACATTACCCTTTCCAAATTATTAAATTTGGTGTGCTTTTTCTATGTGTTATTTTATCGAAATCTTACCTGTAAAAACAAATCATTTTTATTATATATGGAGTTAGGACATATTTTTTTATGTCGTCCTGGGCCTCAAAAATCTCAGGACCGGCTCTGAATGGTGGCGGTAGTGACTGTTGAGGACTGACGAAGGATACTGGGGAGAAGAGAAAAGACGTGAAAAATTAGGTTTCAAAAGGCAGAAAACTTGGGAAGTTATGGGGTTGGTATAAAAAATTGGGAGTTTTAACGAAACACTCCCGATACTATTCACTTTTAATGAAAAACCACATTTTTACCTTTTTCTGGTACTATTCACTACACTTTTATTTGTCATTTTTCATTAAAACTAAAAAAAAATTGGATTTTTAGTGAGTTTTTCTTTAAAAAATTGGGTTTGAAAAGGTGTTGACCCTAAAAACTACTAAGCCTACGTGGCGCGCAGGCCGAGTAATTTATAAGCTAATTACGTCATTCGGTTGAATGCGGGGCGTGCCAACTCGTCGGCCGAGCTTGGCCGAGGAGTAAAATTTATCGATGTTGCGTTGGGTGCGCAGCTGACTTCTGCATCTTGCGATTGCGACCGAGAAAGGAACACGTCTCGGCCTCTTGGGTTCTCGAACTTGAAGATAAGGCTACTATTCTTACGAAGTTCACGAATCGTCGTCGTTGGATTCGGTCACAGTGATGGTATTCCTCAGAGTAAACTCACGTCGAATCGACACCAAAGTGTAAGGGCACAAATACTCAAAGCGGATATAAGTCTTAATAGTGAACGTGGTTCGGCCGTCTGAATGCCGAACTCCAAATCCCACTTGAGAGTATCCAATCATAAAATAACTCAGCGTGCAATGCGCCGAGCTCAGTAAGTTTTAACACTTCACTTCTCCGAGAAGGCTAATGAGATGACCTCGATCAATAAGGATTCGGAAATCCTTCTCGACCGAGACTTGGATAGGTAACCAACCACCTTCGCCGCAGTGCTGTTGATGCCAACGGAAGATGCTGCGAGATCGACTAATTTTACGGCGATAGAGCTATCTATGCCGACTGAAGATATCACCGGTTGCTTTCACAGTGCTGTTGATGCCAACGGAAGATGTGTCAGCGAAAAGAGAAAATAAAAATCTCAAAGTTGTTGAGAGAGTTTGCGTAGGGTAGTTGTGTGTTGAATTGGATGGGCTTTCAATGGTGTTCGCAACCTTGTATTTATAGACGCAGATGTGTGGTGCGGCTTCACACTAGTGTAGGATTTGATTTCAATTCACACTTATCAGCCAGAGTCCCAGTCAAACACTTCTCAAGGTAAGCAGCAGCCTATCTTCTAGATGTCATCATTATCTCCTTATTTTATGCAAATAATTAACATGCATAATGGCCTCCACAGCTCTGGAACCAAAGCATGCTGATAATTAACATGCAAGCCTAGCCATTCACTTCCACAAGACTCGGTAACCCGCCAAAATCCAAGGATACATGCCATTTGGTGGTCATTTGCTTTCCATGTGGAGACCATCAAAATAAAACCTTTTTTCATGCCATCTTTATCCATCCAAACCATTTCCAACTTTTGCACTGCATTTAATGAAATTATCACATGCATGCATAAAAAATCATGGCTGGTAGTTTTGCATTATCTGCAAAACCACCCTGATCCCATCACATCACTTTACTTTGATTATTCCACACGTCTACACACATCCCAACTTAATTTGAAATGTACCACTTGCTTAGAGATATAATTCGCATCTGTCAAGATAATTAAAAGATAATTATTATGATAAAAACCATAATATTATCTTTTAACAACAACAAAACTATCTTCACTTTTCCATCCAACGGTTGAGAGCTATGCTCACTCGACGGCCTTGATTGCACAGGCCGATGGTGTAAATTCAAATTCAGAAGTGAATTGGTAAACAACTTATATGAAACCAACACCATTCCTATTCCATTTCGTGATAATTTAGTAAACACCTTTTATAGGAATCTGATTCTAATTCCTCCCCAATCCAATTCTGCATCAATATTCCTTATCAATTCAATTTCTCCCATTTTGATTACGGATTAGTAAATGAGCCACAAGAGTATGGCTCCAAACCAAACCCAGTACACCAAGTTGGTCATTTGTGAAAGTGAAAGGGTCTGTTACGGTTGGAAGTAAATTGCAGAATATGAGTGATCAGTTGATGTATTGTGCATGCCGATGAGTTGCATATCGCAACTATCCATTAAAAGATCGTATTAGAGAAAACCGCTTAATGTATGGTTCTGTTCGATTTAGAATATAATTATTTTTTTTATGATGCACTAATCAACTTCATCAAACTCATTAGCATGAATTATACCACTCGCCAAATACCAAACCTTAAAGCACCACATTGTTCTGAAACCTCTACTCTTCCAAGCAACAAATTTTATATACAAATATTGGTACCATAAAAAGTGCAGGCATTATTCTAATTCATAGTAAATAGAACTCTGTTGATACGATAATGTTTAAATAAGTCTTGTCTTTTAGAAACAATAGTGCTTTACAGTGATGACAATACCAGTCACTTGACATGGTTCAGGAGCCCACTCTAGCAAGTCTTGATGAGCATCTTCGGGAGCTTTACAAGCCGCTTCGTCTTCAACGTCTTACCTCGTGTTCCACTTTCGGGAAATTCTTCACATGGCTTTTAATCTGCGATTCCATAAAACCCCCGGCCATTCCAAATATATAACGCAAAACATTGAAGAAAGAAGGTAGAATATGTAAGCATATATTGATGATTGAATTATTATTTAAGTGTTGATACACGTGCTTATTTCTTATTAGTGACACATGATTTAGTTTGTAAATTTAGTCTACCTAGCATTATTCTGTAAACATTCTTTTGCCTTTGCCCATCCCTCTTTTTTCCTTTGTAATTCCCATCTGTTCCTAACCAAAGTGTGAAAACTGGTTATCATGTGCCGGAAACAAAATCATTAAGTTTATAAAACTCCCTTTTTTGGTGGGGGGCACAACTCATTGGGCATCTTGAACTAGTACTATACTTACATGACACCCAAATGGTGTTGGGGGTTCTTCCGGGTTACACGGAGGAGGCCGGTCGAGGACCGTCAGTTCAATCAAACTACAAAACTTTACAAACATACACTAGTTCATAAACCTCCAGAGGCATTATTTAACCACTACCAATAGAAAGCAGCTGATAGGATAAGGAAATCCACTACAGTGATGATGTCACTCCCTTGACATGGTTCAAGAGCCACTCCAACAAGTCTTGATGAGCCTCCTCGGCAGATTTACAAGCTGCTTCGTCTTCAACATTGTACCTCACCGTCCACCCGTGTGACACTTTGGGGAATATCTTCACATGGCTCTTAACCTGTGATTCCACAAAACCAACAATCGTTTCAACAAATTTCAAAAGTTTGCCACTACAAGCCACCACAGTGGTGAACCCTAATGTGAAGGGGGGGGGGGGTGTGTTCCTCGTGTTGTCCTATCATTTCTTCACAGAGAACAAAATTAAAATGTTTTTGAAGTTCATACAAAACAGTGTACGACCATCATTGGAAATTAAATAGAATGTCTTGGCATAACATATAAGCTCTCTGGCACCCTTCCCTTACAAAGTTACAAGTCATTTTTGGAAGGGCAAGTTACCTTTAACTACAAGCCATGCACAATTATATTTCATTATATGATACACAAAGCAGGCATCTCAAGTTGAGGAATGTCCGTGACTAGAATAAACAACTAACAAAAGCACAAGTACTGAAGACTGTTCGGATGAAAGATATATTCCTACCTCAGATTTTGCAGTTAAAACCTCTTCAAACTGTTTCACAACTTCAGGTGGAGATATCCGATCAAACTCAGCTCCAAGTATAGAAATAGGAACCTTAACCTCTGAAAGTAGTTCCAGGAATAGACGAGTGTGAGACTAACTTTTTGTTCCAATAATGGTGTCCAAGTAGATATTTCCTGAATATTAATACAGATATCTTACCCTTTATATCATCCACAGTGACAAATGTAGGATGACACAGAACAGCAGCTTGAATTAAAGCGCGCTTTGCAAGTTCAACCACAACCTTGGCTGAAAACAGCGCAAATAGTTCAATGTCGACCGAAACAATATTTTCCATATTGGTTGAACTATTGAAACAAGAGTGATAAGTAAAACACTGCCTAAACATTAGCCAAAAGTCCAAACGAGAAACATTTTTGTTACACTGAAAAAGCAACAAATAACCCACAAAGTAAATGGATTATGGAGATAAGGAAAAATAAAATAGAGCAACCAAGATGTTAACAGGAAAGGAAAATGAACTCACCTCCCCAACAGAAGCCTGCAGCACCGATTGAAGAAACGCCTTTTCTTTTTAAAGCTTCAAGAACTAGCTTTGCATCCTCAAATCCCTTGTCCTATCAATCCAAAAACCAGATTTAGAAGCTAACAATACTTGAACATACCCAAATTGCAGAGAAACTTTTATAACACCCCAATGCTAGGGACTCGTAACTTAACCATTGTCACAAAAGCTGGAATCAGCCTAGTAGTGAACAACCATAAAAAGTTTTGACATAAATAATCATGGGATTGCCAAGCTGAACCCGCACACATAAGCATCTAAAATATTTTAGTAAACTCAAGAATTGCATAGGGAGACTTGTAAAAGTACTTCGATCATCAAAGAAACAAAACAGATATGCATAAAAGTAGACATAACAACAAAAGAACCAACCGGTCTATGATCTTTTATCCAAACAGGAAGAGGTCTATTGGCATCTTCAGGTGCATAAGGATCTTTGTTAAAGAAGTCGGGAACCACAACAAAGAATCCAGCAGCTGCTACTTTATCAGCAAGCTTCCTTCAAAATGGAAGGCAGGTGGCATTAGTTAAAGGGTATACGATATTGTGGAAACACGGAAACTACAAAGTGATTCCACAGTTTTCTTCGATGAAAATAGCTGATGTCGGTAACCGGCACGCGAAATTTTATCGTTCTGTACATTACAGAGTGAACAACCTAAAAATACAGTTATAGATCTTCAAATCATCATAAAAGGTCATTGCATAGGCAGGGGATCGGACAATATCTGATACTGATATACAATCCGAAACTATTGGTTGTAACTATCTTTCAAAATTAAGTTAGATATAGATATAGAATCATAGATTATAGACCTATAGTAACTTTTTTTTTTTTTCTTCCTTAACGATTGTATTATTTCAAGTAATTACTCATCAAATTTAACCAGCAAGTGTCACTGATGTCCCCGAGTCAATATCCGAAAGCGAAAAGGGACAGCATAAAACGTTCGGGTGCAAGAAAAAGCGATTCGCAGAATTCATCTAGCACATTATCCACTGCAAATAAAATTAGCAGTCGAAAAACCAATAAAGAGACTAGTCAACTTGTCATCATACCTCAAGTTTGGAGCTTCAAATCCTGCATGACAAAGCAAACATTCAACATTACAAAGCAGTTATACAAAACACAAACTTTCATCACAGAAATGAACATCACATAACCTAGATTATCAAGACTTTATAAAAAATGGAGGAAAAAAAAATCCAAAAATTCAAATAGAAATGGAAAAAATCATAAATTTAGGAAACCCATCAACAAACGCAGCCTAAAAATGAATACCCATTAAACCAAAAACCCATAAAAATAACGCAATAAGGAAAGAAACCCATGTCGTTGAACGAAGAAAGGAGAGGCTTTTGAAGTGGTGGGGAAGTTACCAAAAACGTCAGAGACGAGGAGAAGGGCAAGTTTGGAGTGAGGGGAGCCAGTGACATAGGAGTCGAGACCGCCGAGGTTTTCGACATGGCCGGTGCCGCTGGAGGGGTTCAGGGTCGGAGGGTTTGAGCAGCACTCGGAGCTTGACATTCTTTCTTCTCCTGTGTAGCAAAATAACGTAAAAAACCGGACAATCAGAGAAGCAGTTCCAAACTTCCAAACCCGCCAAAATTGGGTTTGTGTTTTTTCTTTTACAGAGCCCAGTTCTCACAAGGCAAAAAGCGAGTGGCCCAACCCGCCAAAAATATAACCGTCCTCACTACGTCGCCGTTTTCACAGAAATTCCGTGCCACTGCCATCCGCAATTGGAATCCCAAACATCAACCACCATGCACGAAAACAAACAAAAAGAAATATAATTTAATAAAATAAAATAAAAATAAAAATCTATCTGCGACCGGCCTTGTCTGATACGCTATCCCATCAAAATTCAACATCGTCAGTGATTTTTTCTAGCGTCGAGGTTTTTGTAGGCTTTCTCCTTAACCCCCACAGAACACAACATCTGAAAACTGCAAAAACATGGGTTCTTTGGAAAATGGGAGACAGAGAGCAAGTGGAGAAGGAGCAGAGCAGGAGGAGGAGCCGATATTAATGGAGCAGACGCAGAGGTTCTGCATGTTTCCTGTTCGTTACAAGCAAGTCTGGGAGATGTACAAGAAGGCCGTGGCCAGTTTCTGGACTGGTAAGTGGTAACTTCTTCGTTTTTACCTCTTTAAAGTTTAATCCTTTTTGAAAACCAGAGCAAATATTCTAAGTATTTTTTGTGAATTTTGGTGTTTTCTTGCGTATCTGTGTGTTTTCTGAAGTGAGTTTCTGTTAATTTTTCAAAATTCAGTTTTTGGACTGGTAACTTGTTCATATGTCTCTCTTTTAATCTTCTTTGTAAGAGACAACAAAGGTTCCCATATTTTCTTTTGAATTTTGGTTTTTTCTTGCTTTTCTGTATGCGTTTTGAAGTGGGTATTTCTTTATTTTCTTCAAGTTCATTACTTTTTGTTTTGTATCTGTGCAATGTAAGTGTTTTCCCTTTGTCTTTGTTGGAATTTAAAAGAAATATGAGGTGGGGTTTTTTAATTCTTTTATTTTGGTTCCAAAATTCAGTTGTGTAATTACTTGGAAGATATTGTTACTGTTGGTTCATGAAAGTAGTATCTTCTTTTCCTTAAATGGATCCGCAAGAATATTAGTTAAAAAATTGTAGTCATGGCGTCTGCTTTGTCTCTCTGAAGGGGAACAAATTTGGGATTTTCTTGTGCTTTGGGAAATAAATTAATTATCTTTATTCTCTCTCTTAAGTTTATTGTACATTACTTGTTTTTGAATTGTTACATGAAGAAGCAATTATCAAACTGTATGAAAATCCAACAAAATCGGAACATGTTCGAACGGAAACCCTTTGGGGGCTGCGTATTTCAACTGCAATATGATGTATGAAGGCATATTGATATGTCAAATACAGTATAAGTGGGTAGCATTGCCTCTGATTTACTTGGTTTGCTTTTGTGGTAAATAGCACTAGCATATAGTGTCTTACTCTGGAGATTTCTGAGTCTACAATCTCGAGCATATAAGTTCTTCACCTTCTACCGGACAGCTCTAGTCTTTGGCGGGTGTAGAATGTGGGCATAAGGCATTTATTTCAGCAACTTGATTCCTTATGTTTAATAAGAACCTTGTTCTAACCTTCAACGCATGGCATGGAAACTGTGTTTGTATTTATCCACAACAATGTAGTTTTTTACAACAACCTGCCTTGCACAATTAGTCTGATATATATCCAGCTCAGACTTGCAAGCTAAGCTTTTACAACAATTACCACCACAACTAATCTTTCTAATCTATTGACAAGTGTCAAACATTTAACAAGGGTCCCTTGAGCTAGTAGAATTATACTCGTACGCACTAATTTGTTTAACCTTTTCTGGTATCCTATCAATGTTATGCTGTTGAGTAGATGTTCCATTATTTTTATTTTTTTGCCATGGTATGTTCTAATGACATGTTAATTGGCTTACAGCTGAGGAGGTTGATCTCTCCCATGATATACAGCAGTGGGACGCTTTGTCTGACTCTGAAAGACACTTTGTAAGCCATGTCCTTGCATTTTTTGCCGCATCTGATGGGATTGTTTTGGAGAATTTGGCTGCAAGATTTCTAACTGATGTTCAGATTCCAGAGGTGACTTCTTTTCTCTGGTCTGTTCTTTAGATAAGATGCGAAGAGTTTTTGAAGTTCCCAAGACCTAAGTTTCAACTATTTATCTCCTTAGTTTCACCCCTAAGATTCAGATATTTAATTTTGTTTTCTCCTGGTTGACTTACTAACATCAAGGTTTCTCATTCTTCACAGGCTCGGGCATTCTATGGATTTCAACTTGCAATGGAGAATATCCATTCGGGTAGAGCTTAAAACTAGTTTCTCTGGTTTCCGTAGTTGTAATGTATATGGCCACCTGTCTAAGGAATTTTCTCCTTGTTCCTTTTTAAATACTGTCTACCATCAGAGATGTACAGCTTGCTTTTGGAGACATACATCAAGGATTCTACGGAGAAGCATAGATTGTTCAATGCAATTGAAAGCATTCCTTGTGTGTCTAAGAAGGCTAAGTGGGCTTTGGATTGGATACACAGGTACTCATGCTTTCCTATGAGTGAATATAATATCGCTAATAAGGGAAGGGAGATAGTACTTTTTGACAATGTTGTATGGTTGGACGTGTTTGTGAATGATATATGCGATCACGAGTAGTAGTATATGAGCATTAATTTGTACAACTCAGGTACTTGAATTTTTAATATAGAAGTCCTCTAGTCCTTTCAAAGATTAAATGTTTAGATTTTGTCTGAGAAGAGAACAGATTGTTTAGATGTGTAGGAGGGCCATTTATGTCAAACTTCGGTATTGGACATCAGCAGTAATATTGAACTTCCTTCCGTGTGAAATTATACGTAATGACTGTCAGTTCAACCTTCAAGTGTGTATGGTATTGGAAAGGGGAGTGGGTTTTTAACATTCACTTGGTCTTTCCAAAGAGTAGGTTTATGCGCATAGGGAAAACGGGAGTGGCTCTTTAACCATGTATTATTCAGTTTCTAACAAAACAAAGAGCTCCTTCGGTAGTCTATGCTGTATCATATGTTGATATCACAAGATTCAAACTTAGTACCATCTGCTTCACTCTGCAAATTTAGAAGGCGCCTTTCTATATCCTGTCTGCTTGTTATCATCAAGCTTCATGTGTAGCTTGTACATAATCTTTGTTTGATTAGAAGCATGGCAGATGCTCCATAAACCAATTTCTTATTCTGCATGATGTGCAGTTCCAATTCATTTGCGGAGAGACTTGTTGCTTTTGCGTGTGTTGAAGGAATCTTTTTCTCCGGAAGGTAGTTTGGGCTTGCATTATATATGCTTGAGTTTATATGTTGAATTGATACTTTTCGTTATGACGCTTGTATGATCTTTTCTTTTGTTTTCATCACCCTTTTCGCTCTTGTTTTTTACTTTATCGTTCATTCTCAGCTTCTGTGCCATATTCTGGCTTAAAAAGAGGGGACTAATGCCCGGGTTGACATTCTCAAACGAGCTTATATCTAGAGATGAGGGTCTTCACTGTGATTTTGCTTGCCTTTTGTACAGGTAATATCTATTTTCTTTCTGGTTCCCAAAATTGAGCTTCCTGTGTTGCTAGGCACAAGATAATAGTTATACGGTGTTGTTTTCACCTTCTTAGAACTCAGTGGTTTATTACTTTTAGTCCTCACAGAATCCGGGAATTGGAGAAACTTGGGTAAAAAAGAGAGATTTAAAATTCTTTTCCATTTCTCGATATGCAAATGACGGAAACTATATTTGTTTTGTTATTAGTTTGTTGCAGAAGCAACTAAATTGGGAAAAAGTTCACGGAATTATAAATGAAGCTGTCGAGATTGAGACTGAATTTGTTTGTGAGGCCCTCCCATGCGCATTGATTGGCATGAACTCCGATCTTATGAGCCAGTACATAAAATATGTTGCTGATCGACTCTTGGTAAGTATCTCTCTGATGATTTCTTCCTCGTTTTTCATTTCTTTAATTCCTAGATGATAAGGGAGTTGCGTTTAACTTGTATAACTATTCTCCACTTTAGTATCAATATTCATATGGTAGAATGTTTCTCCTTTCCAGGTTGCGTTAGGTTGTCAGAGGAAGTACAATGTCAAAAATCCTTTTGACTGGATGGAGTTTATTTCTTTGCAGTGAGTATTTCTGAGAATGTGGTTTTGCTTTGCCTGCTTTTAGTCTATTCTTGGAACCGGTTGACGGATAAATGATCTTGATCTCGTTTGCTTGATTCTGCAGAGGAAAGACGAACTTTTTCGAGAGAAGGGTCGGTGACTATCAAAAAGCATCTGTTATGTCAGGCCTTCAAGATGGTGGCAAAAATTTCATCTTCAAGTTGGACGCCGACTTCTAGTTCACCAAATTTGTTGCAACCTGCAACTTCTACCAGCATTGTACTGACTCTATCTGAAACTAACTAAAATTTTGTTACTATTCTTTGTGGTAGCAATTTGTATATTGTATTTCGAGGGAAGAGTCCTCTCCTGAGCTCAGGATGGGGATCCTCCTGACCAGCTCATCTGGGCCGTTCAAATTTAATCCAGCGGTTGCAATTATTATAACTTTTAGAGGGCCCCCTGTTTGGAGCCGTTGGATTAAATTTGAACGGCCCAGATGGGCTGGTCAAGAGGATCTCCATCCTGAGCTCAGTAGAGGATCCTCTTCAGTATTTCGAGGTAGTCATAGTCACCAACACTTGATAGTATGTATTGACGAGTAGTGCTATCGTCAATCAATCGCCCTCGCAAGCTTAGTTAATTTCTTATAATAGATGTTTGTGGGTTTCACAGTGGACTCATATACATCAACGACCAGAAACCCGACCTTGTGATAGTATTTTTCATATATTCATTCTGTTAACTTAGGTGGCTATCATTATCAATAAAGAATTTTTTGTTTCTATAATTTAATTTTTATTATTTATCATAATTTGGAATGTGCATAATATCATCATTGTGTTTGAAAAATGGTACATGCTTCAGCTGCTTTTCATCAGTGCTTCTGATGATTAGCCTTCTGACTATGGCATGGGTGCACCGTTTTCCCAATTTTGCTTGAATCATACATGTACTTTTTTTTCTCTGCATACACCAACATTTTTTCCAATTTGGTCTAAGATTTTGCTCGGGATAGCGTCATACGCGCATGTGAGTGACTTTCAGCTATTGATAATCTGTTGTCTTTTAAGGTTTATGATATTTACAATTTATGGCCCGTTAATTTAAAGCAAGCGGTTAGCTAATATCCAAAAGCATATTTCCTCATTAGGGGTTTTCCTTAACCAACTCCAATGGGGAGTTGTCAATTGCTAAAATTTGGCACACAAAAATCAAATTCTTGATGGATAAATTGTTTTTCTTCTCCAACCCTTTAGTGTTGAATTTAGCAACTTAGCTATGTTAAATGTGAACAAGTGTTTAAGCATTGTTTTATTTTTTGTTAAACTTTTTTTCAAATTCTTTTTCTTTAGGTTATCTTTATTTAAATTTACGAAAATATAAGTTCCTAAAACAATCCAAATTTCCGACAAAGTTTGACGGACTTATGAGCTAAATACTTTTAATTATTATTTTAGCCCCTTGACATAAATTTGGACCGTTTGATCATATTCATTACTATTAAATTTGATCACATTTGATATCATCCGTTAGATATTTCTAAGAGAGTTATGACAAAAATAAAAATGAGAACTGATGTTGGGACTGTTGTGATTAAAATTATTATTTAGGAATGTGGTTGTGTAAACATAAAGTAAAATCCCAATAGAAGATCAAATCCTCATATGCTTCACAAGAAAACCCATCAAAACTAGTATAAATGGTACAAATCCTCACTCACGATGGGATAACCCAACGAAGTGAATATAACATTTTGGATAAAAAAACAAAAACAAAGAGCCATTGGCTCTCCTTTTTACGTAGAATTATCTCTCCTCTTATTCTAATCTCCTTCCTTCCCTTCTCTCACACTTTGCTTTTCGTCTTACTGTCTCTATGAAAAATTAATATAAGATTTTAACGTAACTAAATATTAACCGTTCAAGTATGAGAGAAGAAAAAAGAAAAAAAATTAGAAGAAAAGAGAATTGTCATCCTATCGCGTCAATTCTAGGCGTCTCTGTCAATTGGTTTTTTGGCATCAAAGGGGTTGGGTTGGACAAGTACTTTGTTGCTAAATCCAAAATTTGGGACTTGGCATCTCCCATTTGGAGATGGTGTAAGGATGTTGATATTTTGGAAACATGCTAATTTCATCTTATTGCTATTATGTGCAAGCTCGTTCATCACCAGTGTTCGTCACTGCTTTTTCATGGTGAAGGAGGATCAGGCACATCATCATCTACCAACCAACAAAGCTAATAATGCTCCCAATTTGTCCTTTTGGACCCATCTCCATGTCACAACTTGCACTTGATGGAGAATAACTTACCTTGTTTCACTTGTTACGTGATGCATGAAAAATAAAGATATATTATTTACTTGAGAACTGGTTTTTTGGCTATCCATGAGAGTGTATATATCAAATTTTTATCTCTTTTATTTCTCACATCACGCGATACTTTTTCAATTCACATATCACGTGACCAAAACAAGTCTGACAAACATATTGAGACAAAAATATATATTATCGGTTGTATGCTTGAAGGGTTTGTATTTTAATTCACATATCACATCATTCATATAACAACTCTCATAAAACTAAGGCTTTGTATTTTAATACTACATCTCCCAAATTGTATCAATCGAGTTTAGAGCTGCCCTAGCGACTCAACCTTCCCAATATCTCTCTCGTGGCACAAGAGATGTGTCAAAGCTTTTATTGGACAAGTGCTTTACTTCTTGACGACGTAACACATTAATTAGTTACAGGGAGAATTTCTCGAACGAGCATACTGTCTTTATTCTCTGAGTTTGGCGTGTGCTTGAGGTGACCACAAGCACCAAGATTAGGTACCAAAACTCCACCACCTTTTCCTCCCTTTCTTATTATTTTAGTATTATCCAAATTTCCTGGTAATTATTACTATTAGGTGCCCCATCAATTTTGAGAGAAGGTGTTGCTTTTCTCAATTTTAAATTTGCATCTCAATAGTTTAATTTGATTTATGTTTTGCTTGCCTTGGCCGCCTTGATTTTTGGTGGCAAGCAACCATCTTTTGAGCACAACTGGATCGTTTCGTATGGTCTATTAAAAAGATGACAACAATGCTTACTAATTAAAGTTAATTAAGACAAAAGAATCAGTTTCATGTGAGTTTATCTATATATAAAAATAATAACATCTTATGCATTAATTTTTCGATACTAATCTCTTGAATTTTATAGTTTTAAAGTAAGTGTGGTCACCTATCATCGGTCTTAATTCAACGGTAAAAGAAGACAAACGTTTGTTGTTTTATTTTTTTACCCATATTGTTGGATTAAAATCAAACAGTAAGTTATTACAATTTCTTTAAACGGTAAAGTTTAGGAGAACGAGATTAATTGGTTCTTCAATCCCTTGCAAATTACATCATCTTCCATATAAAACGTGGGTTTGTTAACCATATCCTCTCCCACTCTACTAACTTCAAATCATATCATAACAACTTTGAACTTGATGTGGTTTCTTAGAGATGACTGGACTAATTCACCTAACTCACTTTCTTCTATGTCATGTCTAATCTATCCCAATGTTTTACAATTAATTGGCTCACAAACTCCGAAAATGAGTTTAAAACCTTTTTAGTGTGACAAATACCAACAAATTGATAGGAAAATATCATGTTTTGTCCTGTACTATTATCTTAAACCAGTCCCTAATAAGCTTATGTGTGCGTTATAAATTTCTTTCGATTCCCACGAGTAACTTTCCTACCTACAAATTGATAGGAAAAATGTTGTTTTCCACGACAAGTTTTGGGAATGTCATATCACAACATCGTCATATCACAGTGTCTATTATCGTAAACCAAATCACAACATCGTTATCACTAAAATCAAATACAAGTATATTTCTTAATGTATAATATGTCACATCCTGGCTCGGGAGTCACATCCCGGCCTGGACCTCTACCACACCCTGGGCTTGACTCCGCTGTAGCACGATATCGCCCTCACGGTTTTGTTTCTAAGAACTCACACGAGAACTTCCCAATGGGTCATTTATCCTGGGATTGCTCTCGCACGAACTCGCTTAACTTCGGAGTTTCGATGAAACTCGAAGCCAGTGAGCTCCCAAAAGACCTCATGCTAGGTAGAGATGAGAATATACATATAAGGCTTACATGATCCACTCCCATGGGCGATGTGTGATGTTACATAATAACTAAGCTATCATTCAACCTTTGATCTCTCATTCATTATGTGAATTCTTCATGGTATTCATAATTGAAAAAGCTCTTTTAGCTAGAGCAGTTACAACTAGTAAAATAAATGTAAATGTCACAAACAAGTACACCGAGAATTATTGTCTATAAAGGTCATTTATAAATTCAAAGAGAAGAAAAATATGAAGTTGTTGAGGTTATGTGGAACCAATGACCTCATGCTGCCTCCGCTACTTACATGCTTCCTACAATGTTTTGTTAATTTGTTTCTCATTAGTGATTACACCATGTTTTCCACAACATAATCCAATCTCTCTCATGAAGAATTATTATAATTAGGATTGGTAAGGGAGGTTGAACCACATTTGTTGAGACTTTTCAAGATTAATGCCCTAAACATAGTAGTTAATATATAAGATGCCCAAATGAAGGCATGCACTAATACTATTGCTTACCTACCAAGACATGCGTAGTGTATATTATATAATATCCACACACAACATGGTATAGGATTGTAACTTGTGAGAACATACCAAAAGTTCTTCCCAAAATGGTCCTCAATTGAAGAAGTGGGGGAAAAGGAGGACCACCTTTCCCATACCTAAAGCATAAGTCCTAACATGCCAATTTCATTGTGCTGCATTTTTTCTCACCACCTTAAAGTTGTCATAATACTCACTACCTTATTTATCATTGTTGATTGAATTTAAATTTTGAGATTTTTATCTATCTACTGTACAAATCTCAAAATCTAAATTCATTTAATAGTAATAAAAATAATAATGAGCATCACCATCACTTAACGATGGTGAGCAAAAATATTTTCATTATCTTGTTACTGTTTTGCTTGGACGTGGACCCACGCTACTCTCTCAACTCTTAAGTGGACTTATTCACCACCTACCACCATCCACTATGGTTTTTCAATTATTATATTTCTAGGACTGAAAAATAATGTAGAAATTAAGAAAAGAAATTATTGGGAAAATGATTTGAAGATCATCATCTGCTGGTGGCAAAGCCAATGGACCCTATGGATCGGTTATCATTTGTGGGCCAGGGTTGGCCTGAAACTCAAACATGAGGAAGGTCAGCATTAGATTACATCTTTACCCTTCATTACTTCCAACTTAAAAGTTGAGCTGTTCTGGTTCTTGTATGGAGTTGGATGCAATAGCTTGTGCCTAAGACATTGGTGGGGACATGATTTTGGTTATAACATTTGTAAGTACATGATAATATTAAAGAGAATGACTACATATAAATCCTCTTCGAATCTCATACTATGAAGTTTACAGATCTAACAATTCGGACTATATTTCATTATTTTTATTCGTTCCATTCCATTAACTCATCTCACATATAATCTCTCTTCAATGCCTATATATCTCTCTTTCTTAAACGGTCCAGATTGCTAAACCTATGAGCTCCAAAGTGTGAGATTCGGAGAGAATCTCAATCCGTTTGCACATGACCACCGTTTAGAGTTTAGACCAACGCTCAGTCTTATACATTGGTCATATATTGAATGATTGTGTTGATGTATAGGGTTACACTTGTATACACATTCGTGACTTGGCATACAAGAAATATATGT